AAGAGTGTTGGATTAGTTGGACCTTGTTTCTTTATAAAAAGAGGGAAGGGAAAATTTGGAATAAGAAATTGGAGGGCAATAACATGAGGAGACTACAGTAGAAGCCAAATATTTTTGCATTTGACTAAAAAAACCAAAACAAAACACCCTAGTTTTTCAACAAGCAGTAACCATCAAATAAATGCAAATATTTAATAGTACTTTATTAGCTATAGACTATTTCCTTTTTTGCTGCACTTCTGTTTTAAAGTGGGACATAATTAACACACCCAAAAAGGAGGAAAAAAACAACGAAACAACAAAAAGGCTCAAAACAAAACAGAGAATGCAAACAGCAGTATTATGGGTTTTCTATATTAAGTATAGCACCATAGAGACAAGTTTTAACAAATCAACATTTTCTTTTACAGGAACACACACAGACTGACATTCATGTTTATAGTATTGTACGATCCAAAGTAAAAGCTTCCTCCTTTTTAAATTTTCAGTCTGAACACTCCCTTTTTTTACCAAAGTGGATTTTAATTCTTTCTCCAATTTCCTGAGTGTATGAACTGTTATACTTTTAGGTATATGGTTACGCTAGCTCCCACGCACAACCCAAAACCACATCAAGTATGTAAAAGCAACAACACAAAAGGTTAATTTAAAAAAGTTAACAAAACCTTTGTTTTTTTTCCTTTTTTTTTTTCCTAATAACTAATCTGGCGTAAGCCTAAGTCATATTTTTGTACTACTCACATTAGTTTCTTTCTGGGGGAAGGCTATTTTTGTTTTGTCCTGATACTCAGTATTATACGAAACTACCTTAAAATCCTTAAATCAACAGCTTCAGCAAGAAAATTTTTCAAAGTAGTATTTATAACTATGCAGGTCCACAAAATAAACCTTTTTTACACATATTATGATAATATTTACTGTTATAGACAGAATTCATCTTATGAAGCCCTAACAATACTATCTATAGACCTCATATTTTGTGCACGAGTTTCACCCCTCTGGCTTTCTGTTGTTCTCTTGCCCACTGTGATTTAAGCATTTCATTTGTTCCACAACAAGGCTGCAATTCTCCCTTTTTTATCTCAGCCAAACATCAGACACATATGAACATCCTGCTGACAGACTATTTCTGGTATAATTTCTGGAGAGCCAGAGAGCAGCTGTGGCACTAACAAAGCAGGCAGACAGAATGCCCTTCTCACCTCTAATCACATAGAAGGGAGCCTTCCCTATCAACACCCCACAGCCTTCAGACTGATGCTCATGACCCAGTATAGAACACACTAACCAACTAAGAAGCTGTTCTAGAAGTAGATTAAAAAAGCAATCATTCACTTACTGTGTTATAAAGTTCTTCTAGCCTGGGAATTGTAAGAAATTTGTGCATGCTGACTCCATTTTCAATCAGAAGTTTCACAAATGACACTCTATCCATCACAAGGGCATCTAACATAGCCTGTTCCAGAGAGCCAACCTACAACAAATAAGTAACAAGGCAGAGCCTGAGAAGAACCTGTAAAACCGGGTATCACAGATAAAGTGGACTTAGATAACGTATCACCTCGTTCATTTACAGGGCTGGGGAAACTTTACAGGTCTACAAATAAAAAGATGTGATGATAAGTTTAGAATATCCTCCACGTTTCACACAACTACAGTATGTACTTTTGACTGCTCACTCCTGTAAGATTGTGTCAGTTATACAGTAATATGGGAAAAAAGCAAGATCCACCATGCCATTTTCAAACTCCTTCACAGACCATAAGAAAGAGACATTTCATCCTCCCCCTGAAAAGACACTGCAGTGCTGCCAGCAGTGCCTCTCACTAGGTGCTTCTCAAGAGCTTCCTCTGACCATGCAACTGTAAGGAAGAAAGCATCTGACCAACGTGGATTCAGCTTCTGCCATTTGCAAGGACTTCTCTCCCCTAGTTTTTCAGAATATTTAGCACATTTCTAAAATGTTTGGACCATTTTCAACTACATGATAACAAAACAGCTGTCAGACTATGCAGTATGCAAGAATTACCGCCCTCAAAATGACTGCATCAGTACTCTACAGTCTCTCTCTACAAAACTCAAAAGATTTATTCTTTACAGTAAAGCAAGTTTCTTCTTTCAGAAAATATCAGTCTGCTTAATCCAGACAATTACATACCAGCCATTGTTGCCCATAAACAAAAACATGATTTTTGGCTATGTCAACTCTATCCCATGCAAGTGTAAGAACAAGCTGGTCAAATGCAGATGCATTCGTGCCTAAGAAACAAAAACAATGAAAACAATAATAAAAATATATGATAATAACATTCTTGTGTCCTAAAAAGGCCAAATCAAGCAATCCACCACAAAGTTACATAGTATATTTCATCATTTATGACATTATGCTGTTATACAATTAGAACACACAGTATATCATTATTTGCTACATTCCTACAGATGATAATATTTTATAAATAATCCACCATATAAACACTAAACAACAGTATCTTTGGATTCCAAATGCTCTTAAAAGTCTCACCTTTTAACAATGCTGTAAGTATTGCAACATCAATGTCCTGATTTTCATCTGACCCAATATGAAAAACTGTGATCTGTCCAAAAGCATAAAATGGGAAAAACATATTTTAAAGTTATTTTCAGGCAAAAGTGATTAGCTCCAGTCTTTTATGTCAGGAATTGAAATACATTAAAAAGACACCTCATCCTTGATGCAGTTTAAGCCTATGCTCACACAAGATTATTTTTTATGAGAAAAAGCACAGCAGAAACCACTCTTCAATAAATTTGAACTTCTTTTCCCACTGTGACTACAAATCTCTATAAATACCACACAATATTCTGTTTACTCCCCCCGTTCATTCTAGTTTACAACATCAACCTACCAACAAACAGGTTTAGCAAATATGACGTTTTTAAACCTGCTCAAGACACCAGAATATGAGATCTAAATGAGACACCAGTACCTGAACTCAGGCTACACAAAGTTTGAAAATGCCTGTGCTTTAAGTATGCAGTGATAGTAAACATTTGTTAGCACAGTCATAATTAAAAGATTTTTTTTTAAGGCAGGGGGAGGGCCAGAGGAGGGGAGTCCCCCCAAAATCCCAAGGTTTTCGAAAATCAAAGCAAGAAAAAGGACAACAGCCCAAATACAAAATACATACACAGCATAAACAAACCAGAATCCTGTCACTTGAAAACAAATAGGCCTGGAAACAACAACAAACTCTGATTATCACAAATAACTGCAAGAATTCAGTCTCTCTTGGTCATGAGATAATGCATACATGAAAACTGTATAACTGGAAGAGACACTATGTCCAGGAAAGATTTTTAAAAGACTCATCATACACGATGCTTAGATACAATTTAATATTATCACCACAAATGCATGCAGCTTGCATAAGATATTTTTATAGCAGGATCTACTTACGAGTTCTTTTTTTTTCATGCATTCCATTAGTGTCTGAAACAAATGAACTGCTTCACTTTGACCAAAGTTAAATGTCTTCTTGATGGTTGAAATTATTTCAGGCTCAGCACCCTCAGGAACATTCCTGAGATTGAAACAAACAAACAGGAGACACATTATTATATATGAACAGTAAGAACACCACCACATTTAACTAGTTTCACCACATCCATTCAAAGTCCTACCTACAAACTTGATAGCATTTCAGTGGCAAAACCTTGAGTAATCTTGAGAAGTACAGGTTGCTTCATCTACAACTTTCTACTACTGCCTCATAAAAGTAATTCAGCTTCTCTCTCTTTCCTTCACGCACCCAGTTCAAAGATGGCTTTGACACAAAATATTAAGTACTCACCCCTCTGAATAAGACTTGCTTCTGATCTTACTATGGACAGAGCCATTTACTGCTACATTAGATCCCTGCCTCCTGGTTCTGAGGCAGTCCCTGCAACAAGGACTCAGTAGATTTAAAGATTTATGCAACTCTGACAACTAACTAGAAAACATTAAGCGCTGTGGAGGCTGAGCATACCCCCTTTTATTATTTGAAACTACATTTAAACCAGACAAGTGTTTTCTACACTAAACAGAAGTGTGTAGATCGTTCAGTTTTAAGACTACTCAGAAGAAACAATATAGAAACCTTCTGATCCTGTGCTGGTTTTGGCTGGATTTTTCTCCATAGTAGCTAGAACAGGGCTGTTTTGGATTTCTGCTGAAAACAGTGTTGATAACAGAAATATTTTAGTTACTGCTGAGCAGTGCTTACACAGAGTCAAAACGTCTTATGCTTCTCACTGCACCTCACCAGAAAGTAGACTGAGGTGCACAAGAAGCTGGGAGAGGGCACAGCTGGGACAGCAGACCTCAGCTGACCAAAGGGATATTCCAGACCATAGGATGTCATGGTCAGCATATAAAGCTGAGAGAAGAACACATAAAAGGGAGATGTTTGGAGTGATGGTATTTATTTTTCCAAGTAAAGTACTACATGTGATGAAGCCCTGCTTTCCTGGAGAAGGCTGAACATCTGCCTGCCAGTAGGAAGTAGTGAACAACTTCCTTGTTTTGCTTTGCTTGTGTGTGCAGCTTTTGCTTTATTTATTAAATTTACCTCAAATCCACAAGTTTCTCTCCTTTTACCTTTCCGGTTCTGTTCCACAGCTCTCTGGTGGGGGGAGGGTGAGCGAGAGGCTGTGTGGTGCTTAATTGCTGGCTTGGGTTAAACCACAACAGATCCCTTTTCAGAAAGGTTACCACTGTGCAACAGCTGACTGCATGAAAATATTTCCATTCAAGGTAGTCAACTGATACTTTCAAGCAGTTTGGTAACATATTCTTCTCACATCTCTGGAAAGTCTGGTCACATCTGACTGCTGTTGAGTAAAACTCTGTTGTGCACACTTAAGAACACTCACTTTTATCACTTACGTTATTGTGGCTTAGTTAAAAATTGAAGCTGAAGCAGCCAGAGTATTTAAACTGAGCGGTGGGCCTCTAATTACAATGGCACAACAAAATTACTGCACATAACTGAGGTTACACAGATGTTGCCCCTAATTGAGGATGTAGGTGTGGACATTTTTCCTATCCTTTTTGTAAATATTGCTAAAGCAAGCATACGTTACAGAATTTGGTGCAACTGGTACAAGGTATGTGGGAGGAACCTAGAACTAGCAGCCAGAGCTATTACTGCAGCCAACCTGGAAAGCTGCATCACAGGCAAGATTACACGACCTGCTTCTAAACTGTTGTCTTTCCACAGTAAAGGCTCCTGTACAAATTAATTAACAAATGGTCCCGAAACCCACCCATGTGTGACTGACAGTTTGGCTAGCAGAGCTAGGACTTACCCTCCCTCCTCTGTTTGCTTGTGAACATACGCCAGTATGTCTGCAGCTCTACCAGTTCCTTCACACACTACCACCGGCACGGGAGGACTTTCCTGAAGGAAGTCTAAAACTGTGAGTATGACGTTGGGGCCACCTTCAAATACAAGTGCCACCACAGGCACACCTTGGCCAATTCCTATTAAATCGCAAATAAATGGACAGTGTTGTAAGTGTATAGGGAATGCCAAGATTGGTTTTACATATTTAATTAATCAAGTATGCCCCTTCTATGGAATAAAAATTAAAATGGTGCCTGACAGACATTTTAACTGTTGCTAATGCATTTTAAGCACTGCAAAGATGCTAATAAATACAGTCAAATACAGTCTACAAAAGAGAAGAGATTCCTCACAGAAAATTTCCTGAACTCCTGTAGAAAGTGAACATTTTTGTTTAGGGAAATTCCCTTCTACCTCTCCCAACAAGTAGTTCCCAAAGATGACAATACATATACAACTTGAACACAGTTACATAGAAACTCTCTGCTAACAGGAGTATTGCAAAAGCATTCCAGTTGAAAAAAAAAAGTGTTGCTCCATAACTGGGAAAACAACAAAGTCAGTCATGGTTTCTTCACACAAACACAGATGACGTTTTACAAACTCAACTGCCCTATTGTGAAACTGCAAGTGATCAATGTCAAAACCATGAATCAATCAGACCAGTAAGGCAAATAACATACTAGCAACATAAGTGATATACAGTTGCTTTATCAAAGCAAAATTGACAACTTTATTCCAAAGAACCCTCCTCTCTGGTCCCAAAGAAATCCTAAATCCACCTGCAATATCTAGGGTCCAAAGCAGCAGCTGAAATTTCCAAAGTAATCATTCAGACTTGTAACACAAACAAAAAGCTATCTTTCTGTTTTGTCATTTGGATGTTTGATGGAAGTACCTTTCTCATTAAAGCAGAATAACACTCAGCCCTCAAGTATCAGAATTACTTACTTGCATGGATCCGTTGTAAATTAATAGTTTTTTCCAGTTCTCTCCGCAATTTAACTTCTGCTCCATACTTTCCAACTGTGCCATCATCCACCAGAATGAAATGGGAATGGAGGTTATTTAGGACATTTAATTTACTTAACGGGTTTAACAAGGTTTGATATGGAGCAACCACCTAAGTATAAGAACACAACAACGTCTTTTAATTGTAATGATTCACAGTTGTTCCTGTGAAACTTAACTTTTTTCTAGACAAAGAATTGGTAGCTCAACAAGAAGCACTGGCACATACAACTGTGCCTTGGGTTGGGATACACCAACAGCTG